GGGAAGAGGATGACCCTCTGGTATATTGAAAACAGTCCATTTTGTAAATTTGCCAGGACCAATACCATATTCCTTCCATGTCCGTATACCGTCGCTGTAGTAATGGAAGTTATTGATAAAACTAATACCATCCCATTTCTGCCCTTCAACTTCAGGGACAGTTGTCAGATCACATAGAACCACATGCACTCCTGCAGCACCGCCGAGTGACTCCACAGCGTTTTTCATCTGGTCAGCCATCTCAACATCATTTCCTGAATTTAGATACATTTTTATATGGCATTTTAAAGATGCAGCCTTTCGGTCACATGACCCTTTGCCGCCCTGTGGGTCAGAGAAATCAAGTCTAACGGTAACCTTGTGTTTGTTGGCTATGGCATGCAACGAAAGAATGGTAGGTGCACTATGGTAACATCCGGCATTATCTTGCCGTAAATATACCATCTCAACCGCCGGCATGATCGTCTTGAGTCGAGAAAAGATATCATCTAAAATGGCCACAACTGTAGGGCTGTCTTGTGTACACTTGCGAAAGACGTGCACGTAAGTAAGTTTAATTATTCTAATGATAACAGATCAACAACAATCAATTCTGATTTACCTTTCTCGTTACAACTGCAATATGCCAAGATATACCCCTCTTACCAAACCAATCTGACTGGCTTTCACGATACTTTCTTGGAAGGTACTTCATGGCCCAATCCAAAACGATAAGAACTGACTTAGAATCCAGTTTCAGAAGAGTGTCCAGTCTAGCTTCGTCTTGGTTCATGGACCGCAATAAATGCGCCTTCCAAGCTTCAATAGATTTCTTTGCATTGCTGACTAAGTAGGTCATTTCCTCTCTTTCTTCGTTAGGGATGCTGGTGTTTTTCAAAGCTTTTTCAATTTCGTCAAATATGGCGGGAATCATGCTACATCTGTCGCACTGCACGTCGTGCTCGTGGTTGCAGGGAGCATAGTAATCATCATCGTCATTTCTTCTTTGACTAAGAGCATGAGCTCTACAGTGATCTGCAACTCTTGAGTTCAGTGAAATATGTACCTGTAAAAATAATTGATATATGATTTTTCGTGCGAATGATTATATTCTGACATACATGTATTGTCTGCGCCCGTTAASAAAASTGATCTCAATAGTTGCTGGTGCTATCAATTATTTCCCAATAAATCATTTTATCACACACCTTATAGTCTCCTTTAAGATAGCGTTTAGCTAGCTTAAGCTTGTTGATTTGTTCCTTTGCCCACGTATGGCCAAACCCATATTCGTCACCAAGTCTCTCCAAAATTTCTTCTGTGTCATCAAATGCCTTGGAACCTTCGGCAGAGATGTAATCCAAACCTTGTAATGACTTTCGAACTGATGCGGAGCAAACTTTRAAAKCTCGGCATAATGTACTTCGACTCAGTGYTGAAAAACCAGATTCATGACAGTAACTGTTGTATTGCTGGACTATTTGTTCGGGTATAAGAGTCCTTATCACGTTTGGAACTGTGATCTTTGTGTTTGATGARAYAGTAAGCGATTTTTCGCCGTATGGTATGTCTTGAACTACTGATGYGCTTGTGATGAACGTCAGAAAGTGTTCTAATTTACTGCGCTCAATAGAAATGCGGGTTTTCTTGATTGGTATGAGAGTCGATCCTCTACCATGTAGCAAAGCATGGTGACGTGCTATGTTGAATCTGTAGCGTGTAATATGTGGCAGCCAGTTCTGAAGTTCCCTAAAGCTGACCTTGTCTGCAAAAATTGACAGTATTTGTCTTCGGATACTCCAATGTGATGCGTTARTGTAACATTCTGCGAGTGCTTGCATTAATGAAGTATCGACATTGGTGTCTTTTGTAGAGGATTTCACGGTATGAAGTAATATCTCTGAGTTCTGAGGAGCAATTTCAGTGAGCACAGCATGAACGGCCTGAGTCGCTTTACGAGTATATAACCTTTTTGTTCTTTCTGACGCGTCCTCCCATGATAGCTTCATTTTTCTTATGGGGCTAATGTCTCGGGCTGATAAGAACGAGTTCAATTTATCAGTTGAGTTTATATTGGAACTTTGTGTTTCTTTTGTTTTCAGAGTATCTGTTGTATCTGGAGGCTTGAACAGCGTGAATAATGGAGTCATGGGCGTGTCAGGTAGCACTTGAGGCGTTTTTAGTNATAATTTTTTTAGAGCGCTTTTTCCGTATATATCTCAAAAGCGCTTTAAATAAATTGCTAATAGGAAATATTGACTGCATTTCTAAACACAATTACATAAATATCTTTCACTTATGATAGTAATTTGCTATTTTTTCTTACCAGCATTGACATTTCGTCGAATKTTTCGGTCAGCGTTTTCTCATCAGATTGTTGCTTATCAGTGATCAATGCATGTTTTTCCTCGCATGTTTTCTGCAAGAACAAATTGCCTAAATAAGGCGGTAAARCAAAGCGGACAACTCGATTATACTAACCTCTGACGCTGACGAATTAGCTTCTATTGTCTTCAATATTTCTCTGCACTTTCTGCAAATACCTACATATATGAAAGCTCATATAAGAAAAGCGGCTCAATCAGTATAAAGGATCAAACCTGATAATACCTGAGCCAACTTGTAGAAATATCCCAGTATTGTTTAGTATTTCAATGGCCTCGTTCTTTCCAATGCCACGATCCCCTTTAGGCCATGCACCCTTTCCTTTTCCGTGGTTAGAAATGCATGCAGGAACTCTACAGCGTGTGCTAGAACCCCTTGTCCAACTTAAACCAAGCACTGCACGGTGATTTGGACATATTGTCATGGAATTTAGACGTTCAATGCTACATTTGAAAATCCCGGCTCTGCACAAAATCAAATCTATTTCATTTTCTGGACCTCCAAAACTTAAATTAGATAAATGCTTTGAAACATCTTTTGTGCACAATGTRAGAGGAATTATCTGTGTATTCCGCTTTCTGTCTCTTTGGTCAAAGCCACAAACGGATCCAACTAAAGAGCGAAAAGAGCAATTTGCTTCCATCATGAATCTCACACTAAATAAATTGCGCCAAAACAAGTTACAATTAAGGCCTGAGTAGGGAGGGGTGGGTATTGACTGATTTACCAACTAGAAAATTCTAAATTTATAACTCCCCGGATAATGAAAGAGAAACAATTTTAAAATAGCAAAATCAAAGTGTAAACTCATAAAAATTAAAAATATTAACAAAATTTCTGCTTTTTAACAGATATAAATTTATTAATGCCGTTTTGTCCATTCCAGTTTCCTCTCCTTTTGAAATCTACATCCTCGAGACGGACTGTTTGTTTTGATAAAGTTTTTGCCTTCAAAAATTGTGAGATCTGTTATCAAAAATAATCGAAAATAATCGGATATTTCTTAGGAATGGTAGCTAGCAGATGATATATTCTTTATCAACATTTTTCGCCCGGGGTTCTTCACTGAGGACCGATCAATGGATTGAAAACATCTCATTGTACTATGGCGAGAATGACCACACACGAAGTCAGGTCGACGTATATTCTTCAAAGGCAAGTTGGTTAAACAATTGTAATTATTATGACAATTTATAGTAATTAAGGTATTTATATTTCTAAAGATAAGAATTCAATACTAGTAAAAGCTTAAACAGAGCTAGAATTTTCTTTTACTTCGGTCAAAGCCACTTAGTATGACATGCTTTATATCGGAAGTTAACACGATTTTTAGTGAACTTTTGACCGGCTTTGTGCAGCAAATAAGCATTTGCCCAGAATTTTTTTTACATCAACTTAAAGCTTATTTATTCCGCTATCCTCTCACTAAGTTTTAAAAAGTTTGAAGGTTTATCACATGGTGAAAATTTAATTTGATTTTGACATACTTTTTGATGTGCAAAAAACACGCAACTGGAATAAAATTATTTCATGTCCTAAAATTTAAGCAAATGTCATAAAAATCAGCAATAAGGAAGTTYAATGAGCAGTCAACAAGGTTTAAGGCTGATTGAGTCAAATAGTTTTTTATTTGTTGTAAACGAGCGGTTCAAACTTGGTATTGATTCTGTCTCTAAATCGGTCCATTTTAACGGGTGGTCATAAATCGCGATTTTCTTGAAAATAAAAAGAAAAAAATCCAAATAACCTTTACCCGTGTTATTGCCATACCATAAGGAYTCTATTGGAGAAGTTTGAGCGAAATCGAATTTTCAGCCGTTGCCACGAGTTGTTTGATTTTTCTAGACATCGGCTCTTAATACAATAATAGATCGAAGGCCATGCGTCGAAGACCATGCATTTTGACCACACTTTCAAAATATAAAA